AATCAACCTGAAAGTAAGAATTCTATGATTCTCTCAATAGATTCAGAAAAAGCCAAACATTCACTCCCGATGAAGGTTCCCAGAAAGCTAAAAATAGAAAGGAATGCTATAAATCCAATAAAAAACATCTATGAAAAATTGACAGCTAACACTATTCCTAATAAAAATAAATGTATGTGACACACCAGACAGTAAATATATTAGACTTTGCATATATATAATAATATACATATTAGCTTACAGACTGCATAAAAACAAAAAAATAGAATAAAAACACATAAAAACAGACCACAGGACAGATTTGGCCTCTGGGCCATACTGTACTGACTGTTACTTTATAGATATTTTACTGAAATCTACTAAAATTAATCTAAAACTAATAAGTTTAGCAATCTTTTAGGATACACAATAAGTATACAAAAATTAATTACATGTCTGTATACTAACAACGTCAGAAATTGAATGAAAATAACATCATTTATAATAGCATCAAAAATATAAATTATCTTGAAATAGATCTAGCAGAAGAAAGAGAATCTGTGCACTGAAAACTATATAATATCACTAGAGAAACTAACAAAGACACAAATAATTAGAAAGATATACATTGTTCATGAGTTAGAAGACTCAGTGTTGTTAAGATGTCTGTTATTTTTTTCTGAATTGATCTATGGATTCAATACAAACCCAGTCAAAATTCTACCAGGATTGTATTATGTAAATTGACAAATCGATCAGAAAATTCATATGGAAGCACAAAAACTTTGGATAATCAAACAACTTGAAATAGAATAAATTTAAAGGACTAATACTATTATTTTCAAGTGCTAATAATATGGTTTCCAAAAGTTATTAAAACTGTAAAATAATACCAACATTGTGGTATTTGCATAGTTAGACAAGTATATTAGTGGAACAGGATACAGAGATCAGACATAAGTCCACACATGGTTGACCACATATTTTCAACTAATTTTCCAGAAATGCACAAAGGCATTGCAGTAGAAAAAATTTTGTTCAATGAATAATGCTGGAACAATTAGTCATTCATAAAATAACTTGGGTCTATACAACATACAAAAATTAACTCAAAATGAATTAATGTATTTGTTCATTTTCACATTACTATAAAGAAATACCTAAGACTGGGTAATTTATAAAGGAAAGAGGTTTAATTGACTACAGTTCCACATAGCTAGGGAGGCCTGAGGTAACTTACAATTATGGCATAAGGCAAAGGAGGAAGCAAGCACCTTCTTCACAGTACAGCAGCAAGAGAGAGAAAAGAAAAGGAGGAAATTCCAAAATTTTTAAAACCACAGATCTCTTGAGAATTCACTCACTGTCATGAGAACAGCATGAGGGAAACTGCCTTCATGATCCAATCATCTCTCTCTCTCATCAAGTGGGGATTATAGTTCCCTTCCTCAATACATAAGAATTATATTTAGAGGTAAGGTTTGGGTGGGGACACAGAGCCAAACCCTATCATTCTGCCCCAGCCCCTCCCAAATCTCATGTCTTTTTACATTTGAAAAACAATTATGCCTTTCCAACAATCCCCCAAAATCTGAACTCATTTCGGCGTTAACTCAAAAGTCCGTAGTACAAAGTCTCATCTGAGAAAAGGCAAGTCCCTTCTGCCTATGAGCCTGTAAAATCAAAAACAAGTTAGTTCCTTCCTAGATACAATGGGGGTACAGGCATTGAGTAGATGCTCCCATTCAAAATGAGAGAAATTGGCCAAAATGAAGAGGTCCCACCCAAGTCCAAAATCCAGTGGGGCAGTCATTAAATCCTAAATCTCTGAAATAATCTCCTTTAGCTCCATGTCTCATAACTGGGCATGCTGATGTGAAAGGTGGGCTCCCACAGCCTTGGGCAGCTCCTTCACAGGCTGATAATGAGAGCTGTGTCTTTTCCAGGTGCATGGTGCAAGCTGTCAGTGGATCTATCATTCTGAGGTCTGAAGGATGGTGGCCCTGTTCTCACAGCTTCACTAGGCAGTGCCCCAGTAAGGATTCTGTGTGGGGGCTCCAATCCTACCTTTCCTTTCAACACTGTGCTAGCATAGGTTCTCCATGAGGGCTCTGCCCATGCAGAAGACTTCTGCCTAGATATCCAGGCATTTCCATACATCCTCTGAAATCTAGGTGAAGGTTTCCAATCTTCAATTCTTGCTTCTGTGCACCCACAGGCACAACACTCTTACAGGTTTCTGCCCCTTAGCTCAGATAGGTCTGAGTTCTTGTCTCACAATTAGGAAGAATTTAGTATATGAACACTGAAGAGTGAGTGGAGTAGAATTTACTAAGGAAAAGGAAAGCTCTCAACAAAGAGGTGACATGGCAGGAAGGGGATGGTTCCCCTACCTAAAGGCTGGAAAGTACACCTTGTAGCCAGGTCTAGGGGCTCTTTATGGACTCAGAATGGAGAGTGTGTGCTGATTGATCTGTGAGTATGCAAAAAAAAAAAAAAAAACAGTTAAAGGGAAGACACCGCTCAAAGTTGGGCACAATGGTGTCGAAAACTAATTAGGAAAGGGTAGACATATGTAAAATAGGTGAAGAATGGGTATCAATCAGAGGAAAGTGCACCAAACAAGAAGACAGGTTTTCAATCCAGTCCAAGGATTTAACTTGTAGCTTGGCTTTCAGGTTTTAAACTGTCTTTGGTTTGGAGGTAGGGTTTCACCAGGGACACACTCCTATCTGCCTAGGCATGTGGCTGCCTCCTGCTACTCTCAACACCACATAGAAGTCACCAAGGCTTGGGGCTTGCATCCTCTGAAGCAACAGCCCAAGCTGTACCTCAGCCTGTTTTAGGCTGGAGCAGCTGGAACACAGAGCACCAGGTCCCAAGGTTTTGCACAGCAGCAGGGTTCTGGGCCCAGCCTAAGAAACCACTTTTTCCTCCTAGGCCTCCTGGTCAGTCATAGGAGGGGTTGTCACCAAGATCTCTAACATATCTTGAAGACATATTCCCCATTTTCTTGGTGATTAACATTTGGCTCCTCATTAATTACTCAAATTTCTGCACCCGGCTTGAATTTCTCCCAAGAAAATGAGTTTCTCTTTTCTATTGCATCATCAGGCTGCAAATTTTCCAATGTTTATCCCCTGCTTCCCTTTTAAACATAAGTTCCAATTTCAGATCATCCCAAATGACTTTTGTTCCAGTTCTGAAGAAGTTTCCCATCTCTATCTGAGATTGCCTCAGCCTGTACATCATTGTTCACATCATTATCAGCATTTTGGTCAAAACCATTAAACTTGTCTCTAGGAAGTTCCCTACTTTCCCTCATCTTCCTGTCATTTTCTGAACCCTCCAGACTGTTTCAACCTCTGCTTTTGACCCAGTTCCAAAACTGCTTCCACATTTTTAGGTTATCTTAATTGTATCCCACTTACCCCAATACGAATTTCCGGTATTAGTTCATTTCACACTGCTATAAATACCTGAGACTGGGTAATTTATAAAGGAAATAGATTTAATTGACTCACAGTTTCATGTGGCTAGGGCAGCCTCAGGAAACTTACAATCATGACAGAAAGGGGAGGGGAACCCAGGAAGTTTCTTACAGCGCAGAACGAAAGAGAAAAGGAGGAACTTCTAAACACTTTTAAAACCATCAGATCTCATGAAAACCCACTATTATGAGAACAGCATAAGCAAACTGCCCCCATAATCCAATCACCTCCCTCCCTTAACATGTGGGGATTACAGGTTCCTCCCTCAATACGTGGGAATTAAAATTCAAGGTGAGATTTGGGTGGGGACACAGAGCCAAACCATATCAATAGACCTAAACGTATCATCTAAAACTATAAAAATTTTAGAAGAAAAGATGAGCAAAAACCTTTATGGCCTTTAGATAGCCAAAGATTTTTAAACTTCCACACCAAAACTATGATATATAAATTAAATGTCATTAAAATTAAAAATACTATTCAAAGACACTGTTAAGAAAATGAAAAGACAAGACACAGACTGGAAGAAAGTCTGTAAACAACAATAACAACAACATATATCACATAATGGATGTACCCTGGAATATAGGAAGAAATCTCACAACTCAAAATTTAAAAAATTTAAAACTCAACTTCAATTTTTTTAAAGAAATACAAAGAAAATATGTAGATAACAAATACACACATAAAAATGCTCAACATCATTAGTTATTTAAAAAAATACAAATTAAGGTCACAATAAATACCACTACACTACTATTGGAATGACTAGTGATTGGCCATGCCAAACGCTGGGGACAAAGTGAAGGCCATGGTATTCTCACACACTGCTAGATCTGTGTCCCTATAATGACATACATATGAATGTTTTGAACATTCATAGCAACCCTATGGGCAGTGGCCAAAAACTTGAGCAACCCAAATGCCCATCAACAAAAGAATATATGACTAAATTGTGGCGTATTCCTTAATGGAATACTACTCATGTTATTATGTTTTTATTTGTGTACTCTAAGTAACACTTTTTAAAGTCTTTCACAGACAGAAGAAAAGAAAGAAGCTATAAAAAATGTATGACTTATACTACTAAAAATCAGGCATAATAGCTGTCAAGTCTTACATCATCAAATAAAACTAAATAAGGACTGTGACATTATACTTTAAAATTAAGCCATAAAACACGTTTGTTTGCAATTTAAATATTACTTATTTCCTGTACAAAGTGAAGAAATAATCATACTATCTATGATAAAAACTTTGCAACCATCACATGCATAATTACACTGGGTTCACATCTCATTCTTGTTCTATAGAATATTCAAGAATAGAACTTCCTTATGGTTCATCCTGTAAGGAATTGTTTTCATACTTTATTTTAACAAAAGAAATGAAAATAAAATTGAGACATTATTATTTTTCATTTTCAACATTTATGACTTAATGAGTGACTAGACCAACTTACATAAATGTATGAATGAAATTAGAGAAATTAACAGCCATTTGGTTAATCATTGTTTCTCTTTTTTACAGAGGAAATTTTGCAAATATGCCTCCTTATACGAAAGGACAATCTTGCTCTCTCTGCTCAACACAAGAGAAATGTGTAAAGAATCTCTGCAGTAAGCAAAAAAGAAAAAAACATCATAACATTGTATTTGGAGAGTAATATATTTATTATATTTTAAAATTTGGCTTCTTAACTTTACAAATTGTGAACAAGATTTGATTGCTGTTATCTAATGATATAAATAATTTGTCATAAATATTAATACTTAAACTCAGATGATCCCTGCTTTCTTTACTGATTATTTTCCCTCTGAAGCTAAAGAGCAGAAAGAATGAGGTACGACCATAATCCAATTTGCTGCTACACTGAAAATAATTATGGATTGAAATACTTATTTTTATTTGTTTTAATTGACCTTTTTTTATTAGTTATTAGAATAGTGACCCATTCAGAAGTAATTTGTTAGTGAGTGTCCAAAGTAATTATGATTAAAAACTAACACATTTATCTTTCATGATCATGTTTTGGTTCTCAAAACAAATATACTTTTTAAGGGTAAAAGTATAAATTTTGGGTGGTGAGGCCAGAGAAAAAACTGGAGCCATGTGTCAAAAAAGTGTCAAACACTGTAAAATATTTGCCAAGATTTATTCTGAGCCAAATATGAGTGGTCAATGGCCAATGAGACAGCCCTCAAGAGATCCTGAGAACATAAAGTGCAACAAGAATTGACTGGTCATATAAGCTTTTTTCATATTGGCTTTGCTCTAACTTTACCTAAAACTATGTTATTCTAGGTAAAACCTTGGTAAAATAACCAGTGTCTTCCATTGTCCTGTTTTAAAAGAGAAGGCTCTTACTAGAGTTATGCAAATGAGTATATTGTCATAAAATCAGAATACTCAGGAACCATTTTTGAATTTTGGAGAACTCAGGTAGAGAGAAAGGTAAATTTGCTCACAAAAGGGTGCTTTACCCAATTAAACTATAAACAACTCAAACAGATTTCCTTGCCTCTTCTTTAACCACAGCAGCAACCCTCCAAATAAGATGTTTTTTGTTCACCTTGGAACTTCTATTCACAAGCCAAGTAGCTCTTGTCAGATCTGAGAAAGCCCTTTATTAAGCACTATAGAACTTCACAGCTCCTCACATAGTTAGAGTGAGACCTAGGGGAAAAAGAGGCCTTCTGGTCATGAATATCTCCTCTTTATATCCCCAGATAGCAAGATCCTTTATAAATCATTTTTATTTTATCACAAAATTTGGGGGGCACCATAATTTATATTAATACAAGGGTAGCTTCTGTTTACATCCTATAGCAAGGCAGTAAATGCCTCAAAAGTGGAAATTTTCTAGTCCAAAGTCTAGTAGTTGTCATTAAGAAATGCTCACAGATTTTTCTGTAAGACCCAATAAATTCTCCATAAAGAGCTATCAAGTGGAGGATTTGTCCTGACCAGCACTCCAGCTTCTACCCTGTGTTCTCTGAGCTCAGGCAGCCTTACTAGTTCTCATTTAGCATGTTCAATTAACATTTCACAAAGGACAGATTTCTCATGCCTTCAGATTTCTGTATTATATAAGGGAAACATCTCCAATGAGATATAATACCCAGTTTCATAAGACATTTAGATAAAGGAGGTCACAACTACCTTACATAAAGCCTGTTAAAACATTTCAAATCTCATAATCCTATCAACTTTTACATTTTTATGTTCTAGTCCTAGGAACTTTTCTTCTCTACCACCAGACCATTGTACCTTTGCTGGTGAAAAAGTGTCTGAGTTACCAACAGGGAATTGAGCCAAAAAACTTAGTCTCTTTTGTTAATCTTCATCTAAAGTTGCCTCAACAGTATCCCAGGCAATGTCAGCTTTCTCATTATAATGTCTGCCTTTTGGTTATTCTTAAATTTTCTTAATCTGGGGTCAAATGCAGAACGCTGGTGTGGTGCTATTTAATGTTGGAGGATCAGCAGGGGCTGCCTTATGTCCACTCAATCTTTAATAGTGTTGTAAAGACCTTTGTTTTGACTTCATCAATCTTCATTTTATTTATTTCACTACTTAATAACCATCTAAAGATTTCCACTCTTCTGAGATGAGTTCTTGGACTCCCTTTAGCTTTCTTTTTTTTTTAAATTACCTTAATGTTTTATTAGCATCTCTTAGGCTCCTGAGGGAAAACAAATTTGATAAGTTTTCTCACATATTTGTTCAATTCTACATGAGTAATGCCACCTGGGGTGCCCTGTAAAAAGAGTTTCCTTTACTACAACATTTACCATGACCTTGGTAATAGGCATTTTTGGTGGGTGAATATCCTGGTCATCATAAAGCCAGTCTCACATGTCTTGCATACAAAGATTTCAGCTGCCTCATCTTGGGTGCTCCACTTGGCATTTTATAGGAAGAGTTGGGCAGTCCCCTTCTCAGAGTAAACAGACCTTACAGTGGCATTTATCCAATCCACTAAACTGGTCATTGTCTCAGGAATAACCTCCTGCACATCCGGATCGCGTATACTTATCAATTGTTTAATAGTGAGCTATGGATCCTACATTGACCCAAACATGCTCTTTTATTGTGTAGCATTTAAAATTAAAGATGCTTTCCTTAAAGTAGTTATTTTTTACAATCCATTATACTAAATGTTTCTCAGGAAGCTGATGATAGCAATCTACAAATGAATCAATTATTTTTAACTTTATACCCTCTGGTTTTAATAGTTGCTTGGTTTTGCCCTTCCCCCACACTGACTATCTTCTTAATAACCACAGGTGTCAGAGGTAATTTTTGTTGCCCTGGCTTAATTTTTCCCTTTGTGGGTAGCTTTGAGACTAGTGGCCTGAGCTAATGTACATCTGAGCTCAGTCCAGCCTTAAGGCCCAACCCAGCACTCTTATCTTCATTCTACCTATTACAAATAATGGTAACTAAGGAATTGAATATTTTGCTTTTTTTTTAGTAGTTTGCATTTTCTTATGCATTCAGAGAACCAACTCCCTGGGATTATAACTATGATTCATCTCTAAATTTCACTGGCAAATTTTACCTTTAGTAACTGAATGCAGTCCAGCTGCAACTCCTTAAAATGGGTGATCACGTGGTCATCCAAGAGTCAAGATTTCTTATTCTTCACCCTTTTATTTTTCTCTTTATCCATTTAGCATTATCTGCACATTTGTTTCCTTTATTTTAAACTACTCAAATAGCCTCTAAACTAACAAAAATATTATGTTCCCTTTAGCAAAAATTATATACTTATGTTTCTATAAACTTCACCACAAAAAAAAACAGACCAAAAAAATTTTTACTTTCCTACTATCTTAGCTTTTAACATCCCAAATTCCCAGTGGGAAAAAAAATGAAAAATTACTTAATATAACATAACATGATGGTAAGATTTTAAACTACTAGAGAAAAATTTGAGATTAATTTATCAAATTAATCTGAATAAATATTACTAAAGTCTTGTGAACTAAAAGGTATCAGAGCTAGCTTTTGTTAGTTTCATGTGCATTTACTTCTCTTTAAGCTAATTAATTAGAGCTCTTGCATATTTTGGTAATAAAATATCATTTTTATATGGCACATATAAACATATAGATATAACAGACATACAAACAAAACCAGATTCTATAAAATTTTTTATTTGCCTGTTTCCAAATATTCTCTCCCTTATTTTAAACTATTAACTTTAAAAAGTTACAGAAGCCAACAAAAATTGAAGGAAAGAGTTACCATCTTAGGACTTCTCAAAAGGGAGAAAGAGCTAAAGCAGCAGGGTACAGCATAAGTTAAACTTCTGAGAGATCAATCTGAAGAATTTTTAAATTAAAATTAAAATGGGCTATAGAATTTAAAAACTAACTGATAGGTACAGTAAACCACCAGGGCACATGTATACCTATGTAGCAAACCTGCATATTCAGCACATGTATTTCAGAACTTAAAGTAAAATTTAAAAAAAAAAAAAAAAAATGTCTTGCATTGGGCATCTTCCACCAAGATGGCCAAATAGAAACAGCTCTAGAGCTCAACTCCCAGCAAGAAAGACACAGGAGACAAGTGAACTCTGCATTTTCAACTGAGGTACCAGGTTCATTTCAATGGAACTGGTTGGACAGTGGGTATAGACCAGGGAGGGCAAACTGAAGCAGGGGAGGGCGCTGCTCCAACAGGGAAGTACAACTAACTGTAGGATCGGGAACTTTTTCCCCTCAGACTCGAGTTCAGATACTATGCTTCTCCTATGCCCTTGCAACCCATAGTATGGGAGAACGCCACTGGGCTGAGAAGCACCATGAGTTGCCAGTGCAGATCTGAGTGAGAGCTCTGGCCAGCCTGGTACCATGAGTATCAGGACAGAACTGGGCAGAGGTTTTGGCTAACACGGAGAGTACCTACAGGACGGATCTACCCACCCTCCAGAAAGAGGGAGAGCTGAAAGCAGGGAGACAGGTGATATGGCTTGGCAGGTCCCACCTCCACAAAGACCAGCAAACTGAAGCCCTCTTGCCTGAGTGTTTCACAGACAGCACATCAGTTTGAACTCGACCCTGGATGACCGAGCCCTGTGGGGGGAAGGGCATCCGCAGTTGCAAAGGCAGGTCTAATCTCACCTGTGTTAAAAAAAAAAAAAAAAAAAGCCAGAGGAAACCAGGCTGAGTCCCAGGCAGGCCAGCAGTAACTCTTCAGGCAGAGAAGGGTCCGACTGCCCACTCAAGTGGCTCTCTGACCCCTGTATAACCAAAAGAAAATGTCTCATACAGCAGAGAGGCCTGACTATTAGAAGGAAAACTAAAAAAAACAAGAAATAGCTTCAACATCAACAGAAAGGATGTCCACTCAGAGACCCCATCCAAAATCACCAACTTCAAAGATCCAAGGTAGATTAACCCACAAATATGGGCAGAAACCAATGCAAAAACAATGAAATCATCAAAGACCAGAATGCCTCTCCTCCTTCAAGGGATCGCAACTCCTCACCAGCAAGGGAACAAAACAGGAAGAAGAATGAGTTTTATGAATTGACATAAGCAGGCTCCAGAAGGTGGACAATAACAAGCTTCTCTGAGCTAAAGGAACATGTTCTAACCCAATGCAA